CCCCCCAATCCACTGATACATCAAACACTCCCACAGGCCCCCCAGTCCTGCCCACACACCATACCCAATGGAGATGACCCAGTTCCCCCTCAATTTTCCCAGTCCTCCCCCACCCCCCAATCCACTGATACATCAAACACTCCCACAGGCCCCCCAGTCCTGCCCACACACCATACCCAATGGAGATGACCCAGTTCCCCCTCAATTTTCCCAGTCCTCCCCCAGTCACCCTCAGGCCCCAGTTTCCCCCAATGCCTGCCAGACCTGTTTCCTTCAGTACTTCCAGTTCCCAGATCCCCCCAGTTCTCCGAGTTCTTCCCAGTGCCCAGTTTCCCCCAGTACTCACCAGTCCCCAGCTCCACTCTAGTCTCCAGTCCCCCCCAGCTCCCAGTTTCCCCCAGTTCTCCCAAGTACCCTCAGTCCCAGCTGCTCCCAATCCCTCTGTAGTCTCAGTTCCCCACTGTTCTCCCTGGTCCCCACTGGTCCCAATTGGTCCCAATCCCCCCCAACTCTCAAATTGCCCTCAGCCACCCCAATAACTAATCCCCCATATTCCTCCAGTTCCCCCAAGTCCCCAGTCCCTCCCAGTTCACAGATCCCCACAGATATGCAGTACCCCCAAAATTCTTCCCAGTGCCCAGATTTCCTCAATCTTTGCCAGTCCTCAGCTACACCCCAGCCCCAGTTCACCCCAGTTCACCCCATTCCCCAGTTCCACACAGTTTCACCTAGGCCCCTGATTGCCCCAGGCCCCAGTTCTAGCCAGTCCCCCTAGCTGTTCCCAGTTCCTCAGCCCCCAGCTGATCAGAGTCCCTCCAGGTGTGGCACTCCCCCTAATCTCCAGTCCCCTCCAATCCCTGGCTGCCTCCAGTTCCCACTTCCCTCTAAATTCCCCAGTCCTCAGTGCCCCCCGAGCTCCCTAGTCCCCCTCATTTCTCTGGCTCCCCCAGTACAGCCCCATTCCCCAGTTCCTCGAGCTCCCCCTGGGCCCCACTTCCAGCCCTGTCTCCACTCCAGCTCCATTCCCTGAGAGGCTCTGGGGGAGTCCTTGCAGCCCCTTACCAGTGATGGCCTCAGTGGAGACATGGTCAATCCTTTTCCCTCCCCTCAGCCCATAGAGGTGGAAGCGGTACCGTTGGGAAGGGGACAGCCCTGGCACCATCACCGATCGGGACCCGCCATCAATGGGCAGTGCCTGGGGCTGGCCCTGAGCATCCCGGTACTGCAGCATGAAGGAGTCAAAGGAGCCCTCAGGGACATTCCACTGCAACTGCACAGAGCTGGGTGTGACACTGGAGACCTCCAGCTCTCCCAGCACTGCCCGTGCCAGGGGCGCCGCAGATGGAGTGGCCTCAGCTGGGGGGTCTTTTCCTTTGGGGTCCTCAGGTTGGGGTTCCTCTGAGGGCAGGGGCAGCTCCTCTGTCTTGGCTGTGGCTGCAATGGAGACAGGATGATGATGCGTGTGAGAATCCATCCATCCATCCATCCATCCATCCATCCATCCATCCATCCATCCAATCATGTTTCATTTCATGCACCTTTTACATCAACTGATTCTTTAACCTTTTCCTCCATTGGATCATCCAGCTACTGACCTGATACATCAAACCACCAATAAATTGCCCCAACACTCATCATGCATCATCCATCTTTATCTGTCCATTATCCATCACCAATCTAACATCCATCCATCATCCATCTTTGTAACTTCAGTCAGACCTTGAATCCATTCCTCCATCTATCCCTTCCCCCCTCCACTCAAGCACTCCTTCAGCCAGGGCACAAACCAGCAATAGGTTCAGCCAGTCATCCATCCATCCATCCATCCATCCATCCATCCATCCATCCATCCACCCATCCACTGATCAACCAACCAACCAACCAATTCAGGAGCCCTCCATCCATCGTCCATCCATCAATTGATCAATTCTCCATCCACTCCCTCCTGTACTTCTCTATATCCTTCTTTCGCCAACATGTTCCTCCATCTCTCCCTCCATCTATCATCCTTCATCCCTCCATTCACCCACCCTCACCCCTCTGACCTTTCCCCCTCACCTGTGACGATGTCAGTAGAGACACGGTCAATCCTTTTCCCTCCCCTCAGTCCATAGAGGTGGAAGCGGTACCTCTGGGAAGGGGACAGCCCTGGCACTGTCACCGATCGGGACCCGCCATCGATGGGCAGTGCCTGGGGCTGGCCCTGGGCATCCCGGTACTGCAGCATGAAGGAGTCAAAGGAGCCCTTGGGGACAGTCCAGTGCAGCTGCACAGAGCTGGGGGTGACACTCGAGACCCTCAGGTCTTCCAGCACTGCCCGTGCCGAAGGGGTGTCAGTTGATGGGGACTCAACTGGGGGATCTTTAGGTTGGGGGTCCTCAGGTTGGAACTCCTCTGAAGGCACGGGTAGCTCATCCAAGTTTGTTGCAGCTGCAATGAAGAGGAGATGATGATGGGTATCCACATGTCTATCCAAAAGTGCATTCATCATCCACAAAATGAGCCATCATTCATTATCCATCCATCCATCCATCCATCCATCCATCCATCCATCCATCCATCTCACCCAACATCCAACCCAATGCCCTAACCAATCCTGCAATCATCTCTCCAGCTCTCTCTACATCCACTCAAGCTTTCATCTCTTCCACCACCCATTTCCCATGGACAATCTTCCATCCTTCAGGACATCCAACCACCCACCAGGAATGCACCATCCATCTATACTTCCCAATTTCATCCAACCACTCATCCATCTCTTGACCTTCTTCCATCAACCTGGGAAGAAATCCACTCACAATCCAGTCCAGAATCCATTCAACCATTCAGTTCTTCAATCATCATGATGATGATGGAAGATGATAATAATGATGGTGATGATGATGGATGATAGATAAAGAGGATGATGAAAATGATGGTGGAGCATGGCAGGTGCTGGTCAATAGGTTGGTAGAAGGGTTGATGATTTATTGGCTTGTGCTGGGGTCTGTGGGTAATAGATGGCAGGTAGAGATGAGATTGCTATGATCTCTCAATCCATTCATACTGTGATCCATCTGGTCCTCTGACCAGCCCCCTCACCTGTAACAGCTTCAGTGGAGGTATGGTAGACCCTCTTCCCACCCCGCAGCCCATAGAGGTGGAAGCGGTACCGGCTGGATGGAGACAGCCCTGGCACTGTCACTGAGCGGAACCCGCCATCGATGGGCAGGGCCTGGGGCTGGCCCTGGGCATCCCGGTACTGCAGCATGAAGGAGTCAAAGGAGCCCTCAGGGACTCTCCACTGCAGCTGCACAGAGTCGGGTGTGACACTGGAGACTCTCAGTTCCTTCAGCACTGCCCGTGCTGGGGTGGTTGCAGATGGGGCCTTAATTTGGCGTTGCTCATCTTGGGGCTCCTCTGAGGGCAGGGGCAGCTCCTCTGGCACAGCTGCAGCTGCAGTAGAGAGGGGATAATGATGGACATGGGCATCCAAAGATCCATCCATCCATCCATCCATCCATCCATCCATCCATCCATATATCCACCCATCCATCCACCTGCCCTCAATCCTCTGACCTTCCCCATCAGCTGTGATGACATCAGTGGAGACATGGTCAGTCTTCTTCCCACCCCGCAACCCGTAGAGGTGGAAGCGGTACCGCTGGGAAGGGGACAGCCCCGGCACCATCACTGAGTGCAACCCGCCATCGATAGGCAGGGCCTGGGGCTGGCCCTGGGCATCCCGGTACTGCAGTGTGAAGGAGTCAAACTGGCCCTCTGGTACACTCCACTGCAGTCCCACAGAGTTGGGTGTGACACTGGAGACCTTCAGCTCTCCTAACACTGCCCGTGCTGAGGGGGCCGCAGATGGAGGGGCCTCAGCTTGGGAATGTGAAGTTTCGTGATCCTCAGCTGGGGGGCCCCGAGTTGGGGTGTCAATTGAGGGTAGGGACAGATCCTCTGGGTCAGCTACAGCAACAACAGAAAGGGGACAATGATGGGTGTAGGCATCGGTATGTCCATTCGTCCCTCATCCACCCAACTATCCATCATGCACCATTTCCTCCCAGTCCCTTCTCACCATTCCCTCCTCACCCATCACTGAGCACCCATTTACCCCAGCCCTATTCAATCTATCACTGATTCTTCCATGGACTCACTGACTAGCATCTGCCATCATCCACCATCTTCATTGTTGTCATAATCAACATAATCTATCATCTTGATTCATCTAATATCCACCGTCATCCATCCATCCATCCAAACAACATCAATCTCTTCATCACACCACCCTCCCTTGGTCCCAGCCATCTCTCCATCTCCAAACTTTCTCTAGTTTCCCTGCCCAATTCCACCCATTGCTCCTTCCCCTCCACATCACCATCCATCATCAAGCAATCACAAGTCCCAAAAAACATCCACTTAATGATTGATACTAAATCCCGCCTGCCAACAGCCAAACAACCCCTGTCATCCATCACCCATGTACCCAGCCTTCCATCCACCCTTTCACTATCCATTTTTGCAGACATCCAATGATGTTCATGTCCATCCTTCTACTCATGAGTCCATCCAACCCTCCAGGCATCCATCCATAATCCACCTTTTTCTCCATCTTTCCATTAATCTCTCCATCCCTACTTCCATCTCCCCAGTCCTTCCACCTTCTGACCTTCCGCCTCACCTGTGAAAACATCGGTGGAGACTCGGTCAATCCTCTTCCTGTCCCTCAGCCCATAGAGGTGGAAGCGGTACCGGCGGGAAGGGGACAGCCCTGGCACCGTCACAGAGCGGGATCCGCCATCAACAGCCAGGGCCTGGGGCTGGCCCTGGGCATCCCGGTACTGCAGTGTGAAGGAGTCAAAGGAGCCCTCAGGGACGCTCCACTGCAGCTGCACAGAGTTGGATGTGACACTGGAGACCCTCAACTTCCCCAGCACCACCTGTCCCTGGCTGGCCTCAGTTTGGTGCTGCTCAGTTTGGGGCTGCTCAGGGTTGAGGTCTTCAGGTTGGGGCTCCTGTGAGGGTAGGGGCAGCTGCTCTGGCACTGCTGCATCTGTGATAGAGAAGGAATGATGACAGGCGTGTGATAGAGAAGGAATGATGACAGGCGTATGATAGAGAAGGAATGATGCTCATTGAACCATCACTCCATCCATCCATCCATCCATCCATCCATCCATCCATCCATCCATCTACACCTCCATCTCCTAGACCATTCATTCCAGTATCCATCATCCACCGTCCCTCAATCCAACCACGTGGCTTTCAATGTGGCTTTTCCTACAAGTGATTCTTTAGCTTCTTCCTCCATTGAATCATTCAATAATCAAGCTGTTAACTGGATCTGTGTGAAACCGCCTGCCCCAACAACTGTCATCATCATCATCCATCCATCCATCCATCTATCCATCCATCATCCATTACTCTTCCATCCTTCACCCATTCCTTTTTCTTCAGTCAGTCCTAAAGTCTGTTCCTCCCTCCCCCTTAACTGCCCTCAGCTCCCCACCCCAACAGCCTGCCCTTACCCTGGGCACAAACCAGCCACAGGCTCAACCACACATGCTCCCATCTTGCCACCTGTGGATTCAGCATCAATCCATCCAAACGAGCCAGGAGCCCCCATCCACTGATCCATCACCCCTCCATCCTCATCATCTACCAATCTGCCATCACTTCAACCCTGAGGTGTTTCCAATTCCCTAGTGCTGGGGTGTAGGATGGGGGGAGTTTGGGAGGGAGGAAAAATGGATGATGGATGTTAGACAGATGATGGATGATCGATGGTGATGATGGAGGATGACAGTCTCTGTGTCATTAGAAGGGTCAGTGTTTGATTTGATGGTGCCAGTGTCAGTGTTTACTCAATGGCAGGTGGGAATGGGATGGTAGAAAGGTGCAAATGGTGTAACCATGCAGGGAAATGTGGGGAAGTATGGATGGAGCTGGAATGGAGAGAGGATCAAAGTGGGATGGGGACAGGGTGTGTGGATGGAGGGAATGAGGAAGACAGGGATGGGGGAAGGAAGTGGTGGAAGGAAGTGGTGGAAGGAAGTGGAGGAAGGAAGTGGCGGAAGGAAGTGGCGGAAGGAAGTGGCGGAAGGAAGGAAGGAAGGAAGGAAGGAAGGAAGGAAGGAAGGAAGGAAGTGGCTGAGGGAAGGAGGGAAGGAAGGAAATGGCGGAAGGAAGGAAGTGGCTGAAGGAAGTGGAGGAAGGAAGTGGCGGAAGGAAGGAAGGAAGGGAGGAAGGAAGGAAGGGAGGAAGGGAGGAAGGAAGGAAGGGAGGAAGGGAGGAAGGAAGGAAGGGAGGAAGGGAGGAAGGAAGGAAGGGAGGAAGGGAGGAAGGAAGGAAGGAAGGAAGGGGTATCCAAATATGTACCAGAAGGAGATGGTTGCTGTGGATGATGGTTGAACACTAAAAAGAGTGATGAATGGATGGACAGAGGAATGTTTGGGTAGAAAAAATAAATGGATGGGTGGATGGATGGATGGATGGATGGATGGATGGATGGATGGATGGTTGGTTGTATCTCACTGATCCCAGAAGCATCTGTTCAGTCACTGATCTTTCCACCTACCCATTGACCAACAACCCACCATCATCCATAACCCATCATCAATCATCCATCATCACCCATCATCCCTCATCTATCCATGGCTCCACACATCCCTGTACACTCCATCCCTCTGGACTCCACATTCCCACCCCCATCTCAAGCCCCAGAAGCACTTCGCAGACTCCCGAAGCTTAAAGGACCATGTGAGAGCTTCAATGCACCATGGGTGCAGATGGGGCCTGAGCACCCCTCACCTGTCACGACATCAGTGGACACGTGGTCAATCCTTTTCCCATCTTGCAACCCGTAGAGGTGGAAGCGGTACCGATGGGATGGGGACAGCCCTGGCACTGTCACTGAGCGGGACCCACCATCGATGGGCAGGGCCTGGGGCTGGCCCTGGGCATCCCGGTACTGCAGTGCAAAGGAGTCAAAGAAGCCCTCTGGGACATTCCACTGCAGCTGCACAGAGTTGGGTGTGACACTGGAGACCTTCAGCTCCCCCAGCACTGCCCGTGCTGGCAGGGCATCAGATGAGATGGCCTCAGTTTTGGGCTCCTCTGAGGTCAGGGGTGGTTCCTCTGAGGTCAGGGGCAGCTCCTCTGTCTTTGCTGCAGCTGTGATGGAGAGGGGATACTGATGGTCCTGGGCATCTGCTTGTCCATCAACAAGTCCATCTATCATCCACCCAACCACCCATCCATCCATCATCCATCACTTCCATCCATCCATCCATCCATCCATCCATCCATCCATCCATCCATCCATCCACTGTCCATCCATTCCATTTTCCATGCACCATCCATTGTTTATCCATCTTCCATCACCCATAATCTTCATCTATTTATCATTACAATCATCAGCATCATCAACATAATCATTCATCTATCCATCCATCCCTCTACCTTGCTAACAGTCCCACACATTCTCCACTACCATTCTGGGAAACTGGGGAAAAGTGGAGCTACCTAGGAATGGAGGGATCGGTGATTGGTGATAGACAGATAATGGATCTATCCAATTAAATAATGATGATGACGATGGGTGATGCTGAGTGTTGGCTAATAGGCCAGTGGAAGGGTCAATGGTTCATTGGATGATGCTGGTGTCAGTAGGTACTGAATGGCAGGTAGGGATGGGATTGGCATGGGATCCTTTCATCTCTCCATCTCTCCATCCTTACAGCCACCTCTCCAACCCTTTCACTTTCTGACCTTCCCCCTCACCTGTGATAATGTCGGTGGAGACATGGTCCGTCCTCTTCCTGCCCCGCAGCCCATAGAGGTGGAAGTGGTACCGCTGGGAAGGGGACAGCCCTGGCACAGTCACTGAGCGGGACTCGCCATCGATGGGCAGGGCCTGGGGCTGGCCCTGGGCATCCCGGTACTGCAGCATGAAGGAGTCAAAGGAGCCCTCAGGGATGCTCCACTGTAGCTGCACAGAGTTGGGCGTGACACTGGAGACCTTCAGCTCTCCCAGCACTGCCCGCACTGGGGGAACCTCAGTTTGGGGGTGCTCAGGTTGGTTGTCCTCAGATGGCGGGGTTTCAGTTTGGGGCTCCTCTGAGGGGAAGGGTGGCTCCTCTTGCTTGTCTGTGGCTGCTGTGCAGAGGGGACAGTGATGGCTGTGGCTGTCCATGTGTTCATCCATATGTCCATCCATCACCTACCCAACCATCCCCCCCGCCCACGTCAATCATTGCCATCCATCATCCATCCATCCATCCCACCACCCACCCAACAGCCAACCCAACCCCCCATCCAATACTATATTCATCTCTGTTTCTGTTCCTCCACATTCCCAGATTGCCTCCACCCCTCCCAGCCCCCACTTCCCATTGACAATCTTCTGTCCATCAAGACACATATCTGGACAGCAGGAACCCTCCATCCATCCATCCATCCATCCATCCATCCATCCATCCCACCTTCCCAACCACCCATCAACCCATTCACCTACTTCCTTCAATTTGGACAGGAACCCACCCAACATCCACACTGGAATCTGTAAAACCATTCAGTTGTCCTTCATGGATAGCAAATCATGATGATGATGATGATGATGATGATGATGATGATGATGATGGTGATAATGGATATTACTGGTGGTCATGCATAGTTGATAGTTGATGATGATGATGATGAATCATGATGATGGATGACGATGATAATGATGGATGATGGCGGGTGTTGTTCAATAGGTCAGTGGAAGGGTTGATGGTTGACTGGATGATGACAGACTAGAAAAGTGCTTCATGTGGGATGGGGATGGGATGGGAATGGAAACACTTGATTTATCCATCCCTTGATGTCTCTACCTCTCGATCCCTCCATCTATCTTTCATCCCATCTTTCCTCTGACTTTCCCTCTCACCTGTGCTGACGTCGATGGAAACGTGGTCAATCCTTTTCCCTCTGTACAGCCCGTAGAGGTGGAAGCGGTACCGGTGGGACAGGGACAGCCCTGGCACCGTCACTGAGCGGGACCCGCCATCGATGGGCAGGGCCTGGGGCTGGCCCTGGGCATCCCGGTACTGCAGCATGAAGGAGTCAAAGGAGCCCTCTGGTACACTCCACTGCAGCTCCACAGAGTCAGGTGTGATACTGGACACCTTCAGCTCTCCCAGTGCTGCCTGTGCTGAGGGGGCCTCAGTTTGGGAATGCTCAGGTTTGTGGTCCTGAGCTGTAGGGGCCTCAGTTGTGGATGCCTCATCTGTGGGGTCCTTTGAGGGTGGGGGAAGATCCTCTGGGGTGCCTGCAGAAACAACAGAGAGAGGACAATGATGGGTGTGGGCATGAGTATGTCCATCCATACGTCCATCCATTATCCACCCAACTATCCATTATCCATCATGCACCATTTCCTCCCATTCCCTTCTCACCATTCTCTCCTCACCCATCACTGAGCACCCATTTACCCCAGCCCCATTCAATCAATCACTGACTCTTTCATGGACTCACTGACTAGCATCTGCCATCATCCACCATCTTCATCATTGTCATTATCAACATGAACCATCATCTTGATTCATCTAATATCCACCGTCATCCATCCATCCATCCAAACAACATCAATCTCTTCATCACACCACCCTCCCATGGTCCCAGCCATCTCTTCATCTCCAAGCTGTCTCTAGTTTCCCTGCCCAATTCCACCCATTGCTCCTTCCCCTCCACATCACCATCCATCATCAAGCAATCACAAGTCCCAAAAAACATCCACTTAATGACTGATACTTCCTCCCTGCCTGTTGACCAACAACGCCCATCATCCATGTATCCATCCAGGCATCCATCATCAATCTGTCTCAAACCCAGTGTTTAGAGTGGAATCTCACAGTCCATCCATGCAGACTTCTTCAGCTACCCGCCTGCCTATTCATCAGTGTGTTCAGTTATCATCCATCCACCCAACCCTCCATTCATCCCATCACCGTCCAGTTCTTCAGGCACCCAGTGATCCTCGTGTTCACCTGTCCATCCTTCTCCTCATGATTCCACCCAACACTACACAAATGCATCCATCATCAATCTCTCCATCCATCTCCACGTCAATCTCTCCACCTTTACAAACATCTCTCCAACTGGTCTCCCCTCTAAGATTTCCTGTCACCTCTTATGACATCAGTGGAGACATGGTCAATAGTTTTGCCTCCATGCAGCCCGTACAGGTGGAAGTGGTACAGATGAGAGAGGGATAGCCCCAGCACTGTAACTGAGTGGGACTCGCCAGTGACCAGCAGGGTCTGGGGCTGGCCCTGGGCATCCCAGGATTACAGCATAAAGGAGTCAAACAGGTCCTCATGGAAACTCCACAACAGCTCCACAGAGCTGGAGGATGATACTGGAAAATCTTAGAACTCCTAGAACCTCTCGGACAAGAGGTGTCTTAGGTAGGGAAGCACCAAATGGGGCGTCGCCAGGTCAGTGCTTCTCTTAGAACAGAGGCAGGTACACTGGCTCTTCTGCAGCTGCGATGCAGAGGGGAGGGTGATGGGCATAGGAATGCCTCTGTCTCTTCAAACATCCAACACACCACTGACACCATCCATGCATCCATCCATCCATCCATCCATCCATCCATCCATCCATCCATCCATCCATCCATCCATCCATCCATCCATCCATCCATCCATCCATCCATCCATCCATCCATCCATCCATCCATCCATCCATCCATCCATCCATCCATCCATCCCACCTTCCCAACCACCCATCAACCCATTCACCTACTTCCTTCAATTTGGACAGGAACCCACCCAACATCCACACTGGAATCTGTAAAACCATTCAGTTGTCCTTCATGGATAGCAAATCATGATGATGATGATGATGATGATGATGATGATGATGATGATGATGATGATGATGATGATGATGATGATGATGGTGATAATGGATATTACTGGTGGTCATGCATAGTTGATAGTTGATGATGATGATGATGAATCATGATGATGGATGACGATGATAATGATGGATGATGGCGGGTGTTGTTCAATAGGTCAGTGGAAGGGTTGATGGTTGACTGGATGATGACAGACTAGAAAAGTGCTTCATGTGGGATGGGGATGGGATGGGAATGGAAACACTTGATTTATCCATCCCTTGATGTCTCTACCTCTCGATCCCTCCATCTATCTTTCATCCCATCTTTCCTCTGACTTTCCCTCTCACCTGTGCTGACGTCGATGGAAACGTGGTCAATCCTTTTCCCTCTGTACAGCCCGTAGAGGTGGAAGCGGTACCGGTGGGACAGGGACAGCCCTGGCACCGTCACTGAGCGGGACCCGCCATCGATGGGCAGGGCCTGGGGCTGGCCCTGGGCATCCCGGTACTGCAGCATGAAGGAGTCAAAGGAGCCCTCTGGTACACTCCACTGCAGCTCCACAGAGTCAGGTGTGATACTGGACACCTTCAGCTCTCCCAGTGCTGCCTGTGCTGAGGGGGCCTCAGTTTGGGAATGCTCAGGTTTGTGGTCCTGAGCTGTAGGGGCCTCAGTTGTGGATGCCTCATCTGTGGGGTCCTTTGAGGGTGGGGGAAGATCCTCTGGGGTGCCTGCAGAAACAACAGAGAGAGGACAATGATGGGTGTGGGCATGAGTATGTCCATCCATACGTCCATCCATTATCCACCCAACTATCCATTATCCATCATGCACCATTTCCTCCCATTCCCTTCTCACCATTCTCTCCTCACCCATCACTGAGCACCCATTTACCCCAGCCCCATTCAATCAATCACTGACTCTTTCATGGACTCACTGACTAGCATCTGCCATCATCCACCATCTTCATCATTGTCATTATCAACATGAACCATCATCTTGATTCATCTAATATCCACCGTCATCCATCCATCCATCCAAACAACATCAATCTCTTCATCACACCACCCTCCCATGGTCCCAGCCATCTCTTCATCTCCAAGCTGTCTCTAGTTTCCCTGCCCAATTCCACCCATTGCTCCTTCCCCTCCACATCACCATCCATCATCAAGCAATCACAAGTCCCAAAAAACATCCACTTAATGACTGATACTTCCTCCCTGCCTGTTGACCAACAACGCCCATCATCCATGTATCCATCCAGGCATCCATCATCAATCTGTCTCAAACCCAGTGTTTAGAGTGGAATCTCACAGTCCATCCATGCAGACTTCTTCAGCTACCCGCCTGCCTATTCACATGGACTCACTGACTAGCATCTGCCATCATCCACCATCTTCATCATTGTCATTATCAACATGAACCATCATCTTGATTCATCTAATATCCACCGTCATCCATCCATCCATCCAAACAACATCAATCTCTTCATCACACCACCCTCCCATGGTCCCAGCCATCTCTTCATCTCCAAGCTGTCTCTAGTTTCCCTGCCCAATTCCACCCATTGCTCCTTCCCCTCCACATCACCATCCATCATCAAGCAATCACAAGTCCCAAAAAACATCCACTTAATGACTGATACTTCCTCCCTGCCTGTTGACCAACAACGCCCATCATCCATGTATCCATCCAGGCATCCATCATCAATCTGTCTCAAACCCAGTGTTTAGAGTGGAATCTCACAGTCCATCCATGCAGACTTCTTCAGCTACCCGCCTGCCTATTCATCAGTGTGTTCAGTTACCATTCATCCATCCACCCAACCCTCCATTCATCCCATCACCGTCCAGTTCTTCAGGCACCCAGTGATCCTCGTGTTCACCTGTCCATCCTTCTCCTCATGATTCCACCCAACACTACACAAATGCATCCATCATCAATCTCTCCATCCATCTCCACGTCAATCTCTCCACCTTTACAAACATCTCTCCAACTGGTCTCCCCTCTAAGATTTCCTGTCACCTCTTATGACATCAGTGGAGACATGGTCAATAGTTTTGCCTCCATGCAGCCCGTACAGGTGGAAGTGGTACAGATGAGAGAGGGATAGCCCCAGCACTGTAACTGAGTGGGACTCGCCAGTGACCAGCAGGGTCTGGGGCTGGCCCTGGGCATCCCAGGATTACAGCATAAAGGAGTCAAACAGGTCCTCATGGAAACTCCACAACAGCTCCACAGAGCTGGAGGATGATACTGGAAAATCTTAGAACTCCTAGAACCTCTCGGACAAGAGGTGTCTTAGGTAGGGAAACACCAAATGGGGCGTCGCCAGGTCAGTGCTTCTCTTAGAACAGAGGCAGGTACACTGGCTCTTCTGCAGCTGCGATGCAGAGGGGAGGGTGATGGGCATAGGAATGCCTCTGTCTCTTCAAACATCCAACACACCACTGACACCATCCATCCATCCATCAATCCATCCATCCATCCATCCATCATTCCATCCATTCCTCTATTGCTCCACTGCTCCACCATTCCAAGCCTTTCTCCACTTAACCAACCCTCCATCCTTTTATCCCCCCATCTCCCCATGTATCCATTCTTCTTCACCCATACATCCACCCAGCATTCCTCCCCATGAACTTCCCACTTACCTGTAACAACCTCAGTGGACACATGGTCAATCTTCTTCCTGCCCCGCAGCCCATAGAGGTGGAAGCGGTACCGCTGGGAAGGGGACAGCCCTGGCACCGTCACTGAGTGGGACTCGCCATCGATGGGTAGGGCCTGGGGCTGGCCCTGGGCATCCCGGTACTGCAGCATGAAGGAGTCAAAGGAGCCCTTGGGGACAGTCCAGTGCAGCTGCACAGAGCTGGGGTTGACACTCGAGACCCTCAGGTCTTCCAGCACCGCCTTTGCTGGAGTGGCCTCAGATGTGGGGGCCTCAGTTTGGGGTTTCTCCTGCTGCGGTTCCTCTGTGGGCAAGGGCAGTTCCTCTGGCTCTTCTGCAGCGCCTATGGAGAAGGGATTTTAGTGGCTGCTTACAGCCAAATAGCCATCCATCAACTACCAACCCACTCATTCATCTACACCTCCATATTCTGGACAATTCATTCTGGCAACCATCCATCCATCCATCCATTCATCCATCCATTCAGTCATATTTCTTTTCACACATGTTTTCCTTAGTGCCTCAGATGCCGGGGACTCAGTTCTGGGCTTCCCCTGTTGGAGCTTGACAGAAGGCAAGCGGTCTTCACTGGCTGCATTGGAGAAAAGATAGTAAAGGTGATGACCACACACACGCTCCTCCAAAAGTCCATCCCACCACAAAGCAACCAATCCAGCCATTCAACCATATGTCCATCCATCCATCCATCCTTCCCATCACACACCCAACATAAAACACAACCCCCTAGACACTTCCACAT